AACCAGTGGGCGGACCGGTCTCTATATGGGATCCGAACCCTCGGCAGGAGCGCCGCCACGCTCCCAAGTGCTGCACTCTACATTACCTGTCTTTTGAAGCTCAAATTTTGTACCTTGAAAGCCTTTATTCAGTTTCTCCTTACCAATACCTACTCATTTCCTCTATATGGGATCCGAACCCTCGGCAGGAGCGCCGCCACGCTCCCAAGTGCCGCACTCTACATTACCTGTCTTTTGAAGCTCAAATTTTGTACCTTGAAAGCCTTTATTCAGTTTCTCCTTACCAATACCTACTCATTTCTTGCAACTGCACCTTTAAGCAGATCCTCTATATCTTTTCTTCCTATTTACTCCCTCATTACTTTCTTTTCCAGCTGTTACCTAGAACAGTGCTCCTCAAAGTGCCAGGCCATGATAAGAAGCTTGCACCTGGCACCAGAATGCAAATTCAACACACTGCTTCCTTCAACAAGAAAGTCTTGCTTTAACAAAGTGTGCTTAGTGATATAGTAGATTTTCATTCTGGCTCAAATTCTTTATCTCATTGCATACTATTAAGAAACAGTTCCCACATTGGCACTGGTCTAGAGACCAGTCCAAAAGCATACCCTTGACGGTGAATGATGCAAGCCAGGCTGCCAATGTGTAACTTGTGTTGTATTCTCCTTTACAGCCCCACTTCCCACCTGTGCTGCTGAGGCCTGGTGAGGAGTATGACCACACCACCTGGTTCAAGTTTTCTGTGGCTTAAGGAAGTAGGAAGATATGAAGTGGTTCCAGGCTGGGCTGGGAGCTCCCTCAGCAGCCTGTCTTCTGTCCAGAGATGAAGTGAAGATGTAGAGACTTTCAAAGTGATCCTATGAATTTAAATCATACAAATGGTAGCTGACATGATAGTTAAGTCTGAATACTGATTGCTTTTTCCAGTGACTGGCTCCAGGCTGTATTTAATGACCAGCTCTATTCTCTGTGCAGTTCAGAGGGCAAGTGAACCCAACCACTAGTGTCATCTTCCAAGCCCTGGCCCTAGCCCAGAAGTGGTGCCTGGGACTCCCGGGCTATAGTTGGCTCCAACTCTCCACCCTGCCTCTTTATTTTCTACTTTGGACCCTTCCTTTCTTTGATGCTGCTCGATCATTACTTTCCTGTTTCCTCTTCCTCAAACCACCTTACTGTTGTGCAGCACCCCAGAGTGTTCAAAGGTCCTGTTAGCTCACACAGGACACTTGCAGATGGACCCGTCTGCCTCTGTGAGGCAGATGACTGGCGAGTGAATTCCTCAAACCACCTTACTGTTGTGCAGCACCCCAGAGTGTTCAAAGGTCCTGTTAGCTCACGCAGGACACTTGCAGATGGACCCGTCTGCCTCTGTGAGGCAGATGACTGGCGAGTGAAGGAGCTGAGGCTCAAGAGGTGGAGTGACACACCATGAGCTAGTAGAACTTTTAGCCAGGACTTGAGTTCAGGTCATGCTAATTCAAGTCCCCTTTTCCTCTACCACAGTCTGCCAGAGCATTCCCAGGGTCACTGAGGGGCAGAGAGGGGTTTGGCCCCTGCTCTAACTGTTAGAGCCAGCTTTCTCCTCAGGTTCACTTTTATAAGATGCATTAGGTTGAGGTAAACTGCCTTAGAGGTGGTGACAAAGTGCAAGATCAAAATATCCAGAATCTGTCTTTGGGGTTGAGAAAGCCCAGCCCAGCCAAGGCGTGGGAAGAAAGGAAGGCATTGGAGACAGAAGCTGTGTTAGTGTGAGGAGAGTGCCTCGCTTTCTGCAGTACAGGGAGGATTACACATCGCACCGAGAGCAAGAAACCTATTTTATACTATTGTATACACAATCAGTTGAAATAAAACCAAAATCTGCATCTTCAGAAGACTCCAGTTCCTTCATCTTTAGATTTGTCAGGCATGGACCTGTGGGAAATGGACCGAGTATATGGTACATTCTGGATTCTCCTGTGCTCTCCAATAGGAGCCCCTGAATTTTCTCAGAAGAAAGCTACCAAACTGGCAGCCTGCTGAGCTTTCCATACTCCTCTTTCTTTGCAACCAACAATAAATCAAACATATTATTTTTTAATTCATTTCAGCATGGATTTTCTATGTACCTACTCTGTACACAGTCCTCTCCTAGGTCTTTTAAGGAATTCAAGAGGTAATACATAAGATGTAGTATGTTCTCAGAGATTTCACTGCCTGTCTGGGAGACTCAAGACTAATATACGAATGACAGTTAGATGTAGAATTGTACCATGACAGAGCTGGGAGCCCTGAGAACTAACTTTGGTACTCCCATGTTTACTTGTCTGTTTTCTCACCTGAGAAACAAAGGGATTAGATTTTGTTTGGAAGATGAGTATATGTCTGCAGGGCAGGAACTAAAGCTGTGCCACTAGCTTAGTTCTTTAGCCTTAGGCCCTCCCTGTAGTTACAGTGAAAGATCTGAAAGGGTGGACAACAAGTGCTCAAGCAGCAAGAGCACTGACTGAGCAACGAAAGCTGGGAGCCTGCAGCTGTAGTCGTTTCTCTTCCCTCCTGTATTTGAGCAGACATGGAGGCCTAACCAGATTACTGTTTAGAGCTCCAAACAACTTGTACTTCCATCACACATCCTTCTTTTAGGACTCTCTTGCTCTGTAACCATCTTGCCAGGATTCTCCTCCATTAACTGCTCATTCTCACTTCATTATGATTGCCAGAGTGTGTTTGAATGGATTATTTCATCTGACCCTTACAACCCTGCAACAAAGGTGAGGTCACTGGCTGGAAAAAAATAACACTGCAGAAAGTGGCAGACCTAAGGCTGGCCAGTTAGCTCAGTTGGTTAGAGCATGATGCTCATAACACCAACATCAAGGATTCAGATCCATGTACCGGCCAGCCACGAAAAAAAAATGTGGCCAATTTAGAACACGAGTCTATATTCTTTGATAAGAAGCCCAAAGTATGTTTCTACTGGCACCACTCTCAAAAAAAGAATCCCATTTCCCTTTCAAAGAGGGAAAAATCTAAGATTCATAACATACAGTGTTGGTAAATGGAGAATTTCTACTCAGTCACCATTGGTAGCAATGTAAATTAATACAACTTTTTTGGAGGGAAATTTGGCAGAATCTATCGATATTGGCAAACTTGCAAAATCATGACCTAACAATTCCAATTCTAAAAATCTGCTCTACAGAAATAACTAGCATAAATGTGTAAAAACAAACATTCAGTCAAGGGTGTTCATTACAACTTAACTGGTAATAATAAGAAACTGAGAACAACCTAATGCCATCAATTCAGGGATGGATAAATGATAATCCATACAATGGAACACTATGTGGTCATTAAAAAGGATGAAGTCAAGAGCTAGCCAGTTAGCTCAGTTGGGTAGAGCACAGCCTTACAACAAAAGGTCACAGGTTCGGCTCCTTGAACTGGCCACCTGCCAAAAGTAAACCAAAACCAGGATGAAGTCAAGTAATACACACAATATCCTGCTTTTGTAAAACAAAACACAAATTTATGTACTGGATATTTGTAAAGTCTGGAAGGGACAGCAAATTATTAACAGCAGTGATTTCTGGGAAATAGAATTTAGAGGGAAAGGGAGAACTTTCATTTTTTACTTTATTGGTATCGTTTGAACTGCTAAAGACAAACAACTTCTTTTTGCAATTAAAAAAAAATTGTTTTAAGTCACCAAAGTGAGGATGTAGGGGAAAAGACACATCTTTTTTTAAATAATTGCACAGTTAGAGAAAAGTTGTAAGAACAGTACAAAAAAACTCCCATACACCCCTCACTCAGAGATGACATTCAAATTTCACCACTTGGCAGGGCTGGCCAGTTAGCTCAGTTGGTTAGAGCACAGCTTTATAACACAAAGGTCATGGGTTTGGATCCCCTTACTAGCCAGGTGCCAAAAAAGACAAATTTCACCACCTGTCTCAATAATGTCTTTCTTAGCAAAAGGGTCCAATCCAGGATTGCAAATTATACCTAGTCTCTTCAGTCACCTTCAACAGGCACAATTCCTCAGTCTTCCCTTGATCTTTCCGACCTTAATATTTTTGATGACTGCAGGAAAAGTTATTTTGTGGAATGTCCCTCCACTGGGTTTTGTCTGATATTTTCTCATGGTCAGATTCATGTCCAAGGTGGTTAGCAGAAACGTCACAGAAGTGCTCTGCTCATCCCACTGCAGCCCATCAGGTAATGCACATTCTCAGCTGTCTTCTCATTGCTGAGGTTTTAACACTTCACTTGAGGAAGATGCTCTGTGCAGGTCTCTCCACTCTAAAGTTACCAATATATACATCAGACAAGAGGCCTCAGAGGTGAAATATTAAGCTGACTACAACCCGTCTACCAGTGTGATCAAATTAATTGTTCAGCGCAGGGTTATAATATTCTAGGTGCCAGAAATCATTTAGGAAACCCCAGAGAAGAAAAAGATTTTCTTATTCACAAGGAAATCTAACAACTACAAATTAGTTTTCAATTTAATGACCTCTAGGTTTGAGAATACTTTTATCAGCCAAATACTTTGTTTTCCTTTGTTCTAAGAGAAAATTGTTTTTATAAGGCTAGTGTACTATAGCCCAACTAAGGATATTCACGTGTAGGGCAGTTGAAAGAAGTTAGTGGTATTTTAATTGTGTTTACAAAAGAAAGTAAAAAGGCTAAGTCTGTCAAACCATAAGTCTGATAAAAACAAAAATTTGGAGAAACTGATTTTTGTGGCAGCAACCAACCCATTCTTTTTCATGAAACACACGCATACGAGAACTTCGCTTGAGAAAAAATCTACATGGTTTGAGACATCACTGAAGGTCTCAGCATGAAATAAGATGTAATATTAAAATAATTGCTCAAGCACTGCTATAAAGACTAAGATGTCATGTTGTGGAGGTTGAATTCTGACCATAGGTGATCAATGACAATCCAGTCTTCGAAGACTGAAGGAAGTTTAGTGTCTATAAATAATGGATAGTTTAAGAAAAGTAGAACATGAAAAATATAGGGCTACCATCAGAGGGCAGGAGGGAAGCACAGCATGTGTCCTGGTCAGTGGCCAGTTCCCATGATCCTCATTTTAAACAATTCCATCACCACTTTGCAAGGGGCTATTTGGACAGTTTTGACAGGAGTGTAATTCTTTCCCAATCAAGGCTTTGATTTTCTCCAAGCATCAACTTCTCCATTCAGTTACCCAAATCATAATTAAAGTCTCACATACTTTGGGTAGCACTTGCAGCTATAGCCAAGTAAGGTCACTAAATCCTCCTTCAAAAGGCAACTATAACGCTCAAAAGAATTGACAAAAACAATGTTGGTGCTCTAGAAACTGATCAGAGACACAACATTCCAACATGAGACGTGTTTATGTTTGAAAAGTTGCTGAACTTTGGATAGGAATGGTGGGAGTCCACAGCGTCCTTGCCTGGATTAGCCCCATTCTCACTCCTCCAGCTCAGTCACTGAGGACTGAGCAAGGTGACATGGTTGAAAGGAGGTTCATTCAATTTGGCCACACTGACTCACCTGGGCTCACTAGTTCTTGGTGGTAGGTGAATCTGCACATTTTCTGTAGAGAAAACTTTCTGCATAGAAATTTTCCACACCCTTTCTGAGTAACAGAACTGAGAGTTAACCCAGATGAAAGAAAAGCCTTGCACTGGAGTTGCAGAGTAGAGCTGGACCTTGTAGACAGCAGCCCAAGGATCTAAATCCTCTGCGGGTCTACTCAGACAGGAGTCAGTCTTATAGGCAGCTAAAAGGAAAATGTGGGCTTTTAATTGAAATGGTGATTATAAAGATCTCAAAGAGGTTCCAGCTTTACATGGTTGCTTTAGCAGATTAGAATTCTTTCATTCACTCCATTAACATTTTCCATTCATCAAATATTTGTGTTAATAAGTGCTAGACAATGAGGAAACGCAATGTCTGACACCTGCTGTCACAATTTCAATGTCTTGTGGTGGCATACATGCAGAGACGTAAATAATTACTGTATACTAGTGGAGTCCCCGTGGAATAAGTTCAAGAATGTTCAGGGCAACGGAACCTAAAACAGACTTTTGAACACATAAAAATTTTCCAGAGGAGGGGGAGATATGTATCTTATCACAATTACAACAATGTTGAGACTCCATTTTTCAACACAACATTGGTGAAAATCAAAATTTGATAGCCCACTATGTAGGCAATGAAACAGGGAAACATTGCCTCCAGGGCAAACTACCACCACCTAGCAAAAAATGCAGCTGGTAGAAGTGCAATGGCGTTTATGACTAATTGATCACAACCAGTTATAGATTTCTTTGTTCCTTCTCCACTCCCACTGCTTCACTTGACTAGCCTTACCTTCCTTACCAGAAAGGTAAGGAATAATACATCAATAATGCATCAATGTAAGTTCAATATTGTAAGAAACATACCACTCTGGTGGGGCCTGTTGATAATGGGGAAGGGAAGACTATACATGTGTGGAGATAGGGGGTCTATAAGTCTCTGTACCTTCCTCTCAATTTTGCTGTGAACCTGAAACTGCTACTTTTAAAAAAAGTCTTAAAAAAAAAATAGGAAAACTTTTTTAAAAAACCTCCAGGGGAAAAAAGTAGGTCCTTTCCAAGGCCTACAAGATACTTTGTGATCTACATCCTGCACCCCCCTCCCTTCTTACGCTCTCTTCCCATTCTCCTCCCTGTTCACTTCGTGTAGGCACTTTTGCCCTCAAATAACCCAAACTACTGTGCCCTGATTAGAATACTCTTCCCAGAAGTCAACGTGGGCTTACTCCCTCACTGCTCAGATGTCACCATCAGAGGTCTCCTTAGACCACCCTTTCCAAAACAGCTTTCTCTCTTACCCTGCTGTACTATTCTGCACATCACCTGCACCCATCTGATATTTGCCCAAATATCTCTCCAGAACTTAAGCTCCAGGAGGATACTGTTCACTTCCACATTCCAAGGCAACACAGTACCTGACACAATGAAGGGACACAAAACTTTACTGCATAAATTACGCAATATCCAGCCAATTAAATAGTATATAACATAAGAAAAAAATCAATGCCATTTTTGCTTACATGAAAAGATCTCCAAGGTACAAAATGAGAAAAACAAGGTGTGTACAATAGGCTGTATTTTGTGTTAAAGAAAATATATACGTATATTTGCTTAGGGATTCAATGTCCAGCAGGCAACTTAACTGGTAACAGTTGCCTCCTGGAGAGAACCAGGCAGCTGAGTCAGGGATAGAAAGCCTCACTTGTGTACACATTAACGATATTACCAAGTCAAAAATGAAATGGAAAATAGGCTGGGCCAGTGACCTGTGGAAAAGGAAAAAGCACTAAGTTTGAGAAGTGGCCCTGAGGGCACAACAGTTAATAAACTACTACATTCCACATGCTCCAGAACTACCATTCTATCCAACATCTTTTCCTCATTAAGTCTGGAAAGAAAATAGCCAAGTCGCTAACAATAGTATAATCTATAATGGGTAGGACTATGGGATGTTTTGGGGGTTTTTTTGGTGGCTGGCCAGTATAGGGATCCAGCTGTACTCTAACCAACTGAGCTAACCAGCCAGCCCTTATTTTGTTCTATTTCTGATTTTTCCATCACGTGGTTATTTTTGCCTTAAAGGAGCAGTAAGGTGCTTTACTGATATTCAAAAAAACTAGTTTAAAAACCACCACGTGGTTATTTTTGCCTTAAAGGAGCAGTAAGGTGCTTTACTGATATTCAAAAAAACTAGAGTTTAAAAACCACTTTTTTTTTTAAAGGTGACCGGTAAGGAGATCTTAACCCTGGACTTGGTGTTATCAGCACCACGCCCTCCCAAGTGAGCTAACCAGCCATTCGTATATAAGGATCCGAACCCGTGGCATTGGTGTTATCAGCACCATATTCTCCCAAGTGAGCCACAGGCCAGCCCTAAAAACCACACTTCTTTACGAGGTGAAATGAACCTAAGTTACCAATCTCTCTGAGCCCATTTCCTCTTCTGTGGTAACAGTACGATTTTGTTGTGGGGATTAAATGGTAATGTCCTTTGATAGTGTTACTAAAAAAGTAAACTTATAGGTGTGAGAATCTCAATGGTTGGTGGGTTTATAATCTGACTTGGTCTGCGGCAGACATGGTCAAAGCAATTACTTTCCTCAGACTTTGAAACTGCCTACTGGTACATTTAAAAGTTCTGGATACAAACTTTAATACTATCATACTGTAAACCTAGTTATATGCCCAATTTCTGTGGCTTTTCTCCAGTTCTCACCACCCTCCACACACTCCAAGCCATGCCTAGTACCCGTAGTATCCCATGCCTAGTAACAAGCCATTTCTTGTTACCCCTTTCTCTGCTTTGTCTTACTGGCTATGTATATATTATCTATCTTCTAGGTTATCCATTTGCCATTTTCCTTCACTTTGCCAACAACTCTTTGCCAACTTGAGTTTCACAGCTCCCGGTTCCTATTAGCTTACTGTATCTTGAAAAATCATGTTCTTTTAAACTTCAAGATAGGCTACACAAAAATGAGAATCACAATCCTACCCAGTATTCATTTAAATTTCAGACTGATGAAATTTCAACTCCTTCAGCATTGTCTTGAGCAAAGGACACAGCAACATAGGGCCGTACTTTCAGTTGATAGTCAAAGCTCAATTAATTACCACTGTGAAGTCAAGGGTGTGCATTACTTTCTCCTCTATACCTAAGTGAGGGGACCAAAAATAAGGTTCTATCTAAAGCACTCAAAACAGTGCTGACACATATCCCATCAGCTACCAGTAAACGCTAGGCCAAAAATTTTCAAGGAATGGGTCTGGACCAGCACTTTTCAAGTTAGTCACAATTTAGCAGTCTCAACCGCTTAGAATAAAGGAAATAAGCACACTGCAAAGTATCATTTTCACATGTATACTACTAGAGGGGTGGTGAGTTACTTAAGTATGAAAGGTGTTGTAGACAGCCAGTATTCCCTTTCCCCATTGAGTGTAGAATTTTCTCTGCTTGGTTAAAACTATTTTTGCCCCATCCCACCCTCCATACCCTATTTATCCTTTCATATTAATTTCTAGAATGCCACTAGTTACCCATCCTAAAGCTATAGGATTAAGGACTCCTACTTTTGGCTCAGAGCTCCCACTTCCAAAAATTGAATATCAGGTTTGTTCGTTCAATCTCTGCAGATTTATTGTTGAGTAAACTTATCTTTATATAATACAGAACAATTAAAGCTAACCAAGTGAAACAGATAAATAAGCCTGCTGATTATACACACAGCTTTATACCAACCACATAATCTAGCCAGTTATCAAAATGCCAAAAATAAGGAATTCAAATAATTTCCAACATACTAGTGATCGCTCAGACCAACAAATAAATTTGAGGCAGACGAGTATTCCCAAATTGCAATGCTATCCAATGACTGTTGAAAAACTAAGAAAATAAACAAGGGTAGATACCTGCGCCACCAGCACCAACTTTTTTCTTTTTCTTTTTTTTTGCACCAAGGCTAGAGAATACCTGGTAAAAGCTTGACCAGAAAACTCAAAACTGTTACTGCCCTACCATACTTAAGATATTTAAAGTCTGAATAAAAAACCTACCGGCTATAACATTCTAAGTGCTATCAGATACTACCAAAAAAATGTAGCTACATAAGTTGTTGCTAAATATAGATGATATACAAAACTGCTTTAGTCTTGTTAACATTTCTGATTGACATCTTTTATTACTTTGCACCAGCCTGGCAAAATAAAAGAATGTTGATGATCGGAAACTGCAAAACCTAGCTTCAAAATTAATAGGTCTTAGCTCAGTATAGGGCAATCCATTGGAAGGAGAGAAGATCCAAGAGGAGAGGGATCTAGGTTGGAAAATTTTGCAAAGCTGGTTTACATGAAGATGTTCTGTCCCAAATTCAGACAATATGTCAAACATGCATTTTTTTTCTATATAAAATTGGACAACTAATGTTGAAAGCAAAGACACAAAAGAACATTGAGTAGAACCTCCCAAAATGGGAGTTCTAAATTGACCCTATCCCACTTCAATTAGTTATTATATTTCAATTAGTTACTGCACTCAGCCTCCAAAAATCAATTTCTTCCTACTTCTTATACCACACTTACTTTAATAAGCTTTGCTTAGTTCCTGTGTTGCACACTTATAGGGCAATAAAGTGGTCCCTCTAGCCTGCAGATTGACATCTTTAATTTGATAATATCTAATAACACCAACTTTTAATTTAGAGATTTATCATGACGCATTCATGCTACTATGGAGGACTCAAGAACATGTTATCCAAAGCCAGAAGGGTAAAATGGAATCCTCAAAGTCCCTTAAGATCCTGTCCAAGTGTTATGTGTAGAACAATTAATGATGTTCAAGACTTAACTAATACCATTAAACTTTGACTGTAAACAGTCTGCATAAATATGGTTAGTAACAATTACCAAGTTTGACTCCTGAAGTTTACCAAATTGAGAAATGTTAACATTGAACACAAATCAGAAATCTAGTTAGAAACATTTTATTTAAATGTGCCAAATAAAAACCCACATTTTCAGACCATAGGATGTTAATACATTCAACAAAAATTTATATTATCTTACTGCTGTGAATTTACAGAGTAATAATCCAGACTCATTTTGATTAGATGGTTGAGAAATATCCTTCCTAGGTTACACTTTACAGACATCACAAATCCCTTATAATAATGTAAACAAAATAACTTTCCCCTAAAGGGTGAACTTGAGGAACTTCAGTCCATTCTTTCAGGACTTGCACTTCTGCGTGGACTTCCTGATGGGGAACGACTAAAAAGAAGAACATTAGGTTTGGAACCAATTAGTGTTTATTGAAATTTACTCTTCTCACGTACATGTCTGGGAAATAATAAATTCAAAGATGGCCAGAGGTTCTAAGACCTAAAATTACATAAGAGGTTTATATATTTATTTGTTGTCCCTGTTTACAATTAGGCTACTTAATATCCTCTTTGTCAAAATTACAAGATTAATTAAATAGGACAACCATCTCAAGTTATTTTGGAGGGGTTTTGGTCATTACATAGCACTAGGCAAATAAAGATTTAGTCACAAAATAGCGACTATTTGCAAAATCTATCTTTTTTCATGTGGGCACTTCCTTTACACCTACTGTCCATATATACAGAAGTATAGCATGTTTCTTTTTCTTTTTTTTTTTTTTTTAAAGATGACCGGTAAGGGGATCTCAACCCTTGGCTTGGTGTTGTCAGCACCACGCTCAGCCAGTGAGCAAACCGGCCATCCCATATATGGGATCCGAACCCGTGGCCTTGGTGTTATCAACACCACACTCTACCGAGTGAGCCACAGGCCGGCCCGGTATAGCATGTTTCTAACATGAAATTTAAATATAATTAAGAATTCATAGGACTAAACACATCTTATCTATAACATTTTATGACTATTTCCAACAAAAATATAAACTGATGTTGAAGCAAGAAAAGCAATATTTCAAACATTTAGTATGTAGTACTTTAAACTATATAGCACCAATTCTCCAAAGAGCTCAAAGACTGCAAAGTAGGCAGCAAGCAAACAAATTCTGCAGAGCCCACAGGCAAGATCTGGCAACAAAACATTATTTAGCTTACCTTCTTTTTGGAGATGGAGATCTGGACTTTGATCGGCTGTCAAAACATGAGAAATTCTATTAAGAAAAAGTACTAACCAATCCCTTCCTTATAGTCACAATACCATGAAACAAACCCCCAAATCACCCTAATTTTAAAATGCCAGGCTACAGGTTAAACTGAAAAAGCCTACCAGCTGTTGCTAACAAAAGCCAATCTTTCAACAACTGTCTTTGATAAGTGAACTACTATATTGTATTTTATCATGATTAATCTTGTGCATTCTGCTTTAAGTACATTTAATCTCAGGATGCTTCTACACATACCTGTCAGTTCTAACAAGGGTCTCTTAATATTACCCCCAAAGACACAAATTTCTTCCTCACTATAGCTTCACATTCCCTTGTTCAGGTAGTTAGCCATGAAGTAATAGGCCATGAAGTTCTAGTTTGGTTTATTAAGGTACTGTATTCCCAATTAACATCTAAGCTTAGTTAACTTAAAATTTCAGCAATTCGAAACACTTTGAACTCTTTGGATATTGGTGCCATATAACTAGAAGTGCATTAATCACATTTTTACCTACCTGCTTCTTGGTCGTGAAAGAGATCTGGATCTTGATCTTGACCTCGACCGGGATCTTAATATAGAAAAGTGAAAATACAATTATATGTTAATCCATAGGAATTCTCTTAAACACCTACTGAGCACTTTATTAGGTAGGTTAGGAACAGAGGAGCTAAAAGTGAGCAAGATTCAATTCTTGCCTTTTATCAGTCTAAGGTAGGACAAACAACACTTTCAAACTAATATCAAATATAAGAAACCGCCATTTCAATTACTTGTCTCTATCATACTCAATTGGTCAGTTCCTATACATAACAGCAATATTCTCAAAACCACTGTCTAATAACCAAGAGAAATAGATGGTTTTCACTAGAAGACTAGTATGATTTGACCTTGAAAACAAAGCCACCACTGGTAAGGCTTTATTCTTGGATCAGCAGTGTATCATGGTTCAAGGCCATCAATTTGTCAGACAAACCAAATCAAGCTTTGACAGACACATCTCTCTTAAAGATCTTGGATCCTGCAATCATATTTAAGCCATGGACCATCCAGAAAGATGGTCCATAGCTTTCTCAAAGGTACCACAGGATTCAGAATTCCTGTATTTAAAGGAACTTAAAGGATCCCTAGTTCAATATGTCACTTAAATTTAAGTGTTAAAACTAAGTGTCTTGTTAAACAAAATCCACATTGATCTATATGGTACACTACCACCCTAGACAACTTTCCAGGGTCTCAAATTCACCACATCATTCCAAAAATGTTAAAACATTTCACCTTGATTCTAAATCTCTTCTTGGGTCCAATGGGCCTTGTCGGGAAATCAGGCAACTATCATCTTTCAGAACTAGTATCATTTGCCTATACAATATAGCTATAATCTAATACCAAAAAAGTTTACACCAACATGCCCGCCCAGGGTGTTCACTGGAATGATTTGTTGCTTTGGACCCTTCTCTACCATCATGGCCTCTCTAACAAGCCTTAAAATCTTTATAGTTGAGCTTTTCTTCATCTGTAAAAACAGGGTAATATCCACATTACAAGTCCTATATAAACTCAACTTGTATATCTCAAATATCCTTTGAAACAATCCATGTGGATTATGTCCTTAAGACACTCCACTCCTATTATGAAGTCGTGACAATCCAAATACAAGTAAATAAAAAAACATGTTACATACTGGAAATACCTCGATCCTTTTATAGAACCAGACCTAGATCTTCTGAGTGAAGCTGATCTTGATCTACGAAGAGACACAGATCTTGATCGTCGAGGAGATGCTGATCTTGACCTAAGAAATCAAAAAAGTTTAAGTCCACCTGCAAATAAAGTTCTTTACTTCTTGTTAAGACTTGAATTAAACAAGATCTCTCACCTCCGGCCCCTGCTCCTGCTGCGTGAGCGAGAGTATCGCCTTCCCCTGGACCGCGAATGTGATCTAGACCGTGACCTAGTTTTCAAGTTAGAAAAAAACAAAATGTTAGATGATAACTCGTTTTTAGAGTTTGTGTGCCTCTGCTGAAATCAAATCTCAAAACTATTTAAATTTAGTGTCTCATTTGGAAAAAACTCTGGGCCTATTAGTTGTTGAATACATACATATATATTTTTACTACCTAAAAAAAGAGTTGTTAAAAGCTGCATTACATCTTAGAATTACATAATATAAAACACTGTAATGTGTATTTAAAATAAACCTTGCAAGTTTGCAGGTCGACCCTCTTTGGCCCATGGTCTAGTAGATCTAGACGATCTAGAAGTATCTATAGCCGATCGCTGCATCTAGATGTTCTCTTCAATCTAACGACGATCAAACTGACAGCCAAATGAGCCAGGTGAGGCTTGATTGACGCAAGAAGATTTTTCTAGTTGGGAATGTGGTCAATCTGGTGTTCCTCTTTCTAAACCGGAGGGGGCCCCAATTGTAAGCCAAATTTACTGTTACGGCGATCACCGTCTCAAATTTTCTGCCCTTTAAAGAATAAGGTGAAGCTAGGTGTAGATGACTCGAGGGGATCTGGCCTCTTATGCTGATCACCTCAAGGTCTAGGAGGATCTTAATTGTCGGATTTGCAAGGCGCCTCAGCAAGATATCATAAGGCTCGTGACATTCTGAATCAAGGCGACTGACTCAAACGAAGAAACCTGAAAGGTTTTGACCAGGTTGATTATTAATATATTAACATTTTTTAATTAAACAAAAATTGTAAAATACACCTGTACAATTAACATTCAAGTTTATAGAAAAACACTAGTTTCTGCCTTGCTAATAAAAGAATTACTTGATTAACTAGAATACCAACCATTCCTTTATTAAAATAAATACCTGCTTCTTCTTCGCCGGCTATAGCGATGACAATCATAAGCATAATGTCCCTTTTCGCCACACTCATAGCATCTATCATTGGGATCAAAGGGACGTCGGGCAGGTGGCCTATCAAAACGAGATCTCCGAGGCATGCCTGTTGATAGTTCAACCCTCACTCTGGAACCACAAATCACCCTATAAAAAGAAAAGTCACAAAATCCTAAAGTTAGGAAAACTTAGTTTAGGATAACTCTTTCCAACCACTCTTTCCCCTCACAAGCTTTGGCTATCTTTAATAAACCCTCCCTACTCCACCTTTGCTACCCTCTTTAATCTTTAAATAACACTCTGATCACCTATTTAAAGGCCTCCCCCGGACTACAGAATCCAAGCTTAGCACCTAGTTATGTAGCCTACAGAAATATTCAGATGAAGAAGGTAAGTTTCACAATCGATATCTTACTTACTTCCCATCGAGTCCTCGTACTGCATCTTCTGCATCTCTAGGATCTTCAAATTCCACAAAGGCAAATCCTGGAGGATTTCTGGCAATCCATACAGTTCTTAAAGGACCATAATAACTGAAAGCCCTTTCTAACTCTCCTTTGCCAGCACCAGTTCCCAGGTTACCAACATACACCTTGGTTTCTGTTTAAAAACGCAAATAGAAGAACGCACGTTATGCAAAATTTGACCCAAGTTTGAATGAATTTTTTGCCTTAAAACCAGAAAAACATACACCTTGGTTTCTGTTTAAAAACGCAAATAGAAGAACGCACGTTATGCAAAATTTGGCCCAAGTTTGAATGAATTCTTTGCCTTAAAACCAGATTTGCCTTAAAACCAGAAAACCTGGGCCGGCCCGTGGCTCACTCGGTAGAGTGCGGTGCTAATAACACCAAGGCCCCGGGTTCGGATCCCACATAAGGATGGCCGGTTCGCTCACTGGTTGAGCGTGGTGCTGACAACACCAAGTCAAGGGTTAAGATCCCCTTACCGGTCATCTTTAAAAAAAAAAAAAAACAAACAAAAACCAGAAAACCTATCTTTAAGACTGCAAAGCAGGTTGAATGTTCTCTATCAAGGATCGTATTAAGTCTTAAAACCAGAGAAGTTTGTAAGTTTCTGAAAAGCTAAATTTAAGACAAAGTTCTCAACATGCTAATAAGGGGGAAACCTCCAAAACACAAGCCAAGACGCGCGGTAGGACACTCCGAGGCGTGGGGCGGGTCCCGGCCCGGCCCCGCCCCCGAATCCCCGGCGCGCTGCGAGCGCGCGGGCC